CAGACAGGGAGCCCAGCCACTGGGCAAGCCTAGAGACCAAAGCACACCAGGATGTAAGCTGAACTTACTACAGGTTTTCACTATATATGCCAGTGGCTCATGATAACAAGTCTGTGATGGGGGCAAATAAAAGAAGCCTCTTTGCCACCTACTACTGCCAGTGTTATCTGTTGCCTAGAATGAGAGAAGGGAAGGGAGAAAGAAAGGCAAAATGGCAATTGGAAAAATTACTGGTGTGCTGTCAGTTGTAAGAAGAACCAAAACTCTGCTATTCTGTTCTACTGTTTTGAGCCCAGTTTCAGAACTTGGAGAACTAAGAAAGCAGCTCATACAGCCCTACTCCTACCCTGCTAGATAACTGCTTCCATCTTCAGCCTCTTCCATCAGATGTGAGCAGAAAACCAGCACAAAATAGGCATACAGCTTCCTAAAGCTCTTTGATACAGTGCAAGTTATCTGACGGCCTAATACCAATGCACACTAATGAGGTCTATTAATGACAGCCACATGCACAAGAATATACAGGGGTCCTCATGCAGACAACACTTCCACAAAGCCTTGAGAAATCACAATGGCTCGAGTTGGAAGGGACCTTAAAGATCACCTAGGAATCTTCCTGAGCAATCTGCTGCTTCCCTGCTTCCCTTAAGCACCTCAGCACTGCTGTAAAACAAATAAATTCAGGCTGAAACAAAGCTTTAGCATTTCACTTTGCCATTGAGGGCTGTAAAAAGGAACCCTGAAGGGTTAAGAGCCATCTCCACTGCCACCTGACTTACAGCAGAGCCTCCAATGCGAGCTGACTGAGAAGGACTGTGTCACTGAAGAGATGGGCACCCTGTATATTAACAAACAAACAGAAAAATCCGACCTGGCATTTAGAGAACTGCTTGCCTAGAAAACCTTCCCTGAGAGAAGATGGAAATTAAAGCACCAAAATGGCCCCTATGTGTGTTAGGAAGCCTCAACCAGCAGACGGGTGGTCACGCAGCTGACTTAGCCAATTGATTTGGATGCCTCAATTGCTGCTTCCTTGGAGCCTGTGAACACTGCAACGAACCACATCAACAAATTGAGTCAACACATTCGTCCCCTGGATAAAACCAGCTTCACTGCAGAGCATGAGCAGATCCTAAATATGCTCCACAGGCAGCAAAATCGCTTCCTCCTTAGAAACTGTTTTCTTACACAGTGGCTTAAAAACTTAACAAAAGCAGTTCTTATGAGGAAGCCACATTAAATAGGCACACAGGTCTGAGTATGCCCTTCTCTCAGTCATCTATAATAGAAAACAGTTGGAAAACACCCAGCCACAGAAGCAGACCCTGTGAGTCAGTACTGCACCAACTTCAGCAGTGATTCCAACACGTCCATGCAGAAGTCCTGCAAAGCACAGTTCCCACAGGATGCCCTACAAAACATCCCGCTCAGCTCGCTGTGCTCTCCATTTTGCCATCCCATGTCCTATCCCCATGGAAGCTGCAGCCAGCCCATCTGCTAGGGCCACCGACCTGTTGCCTGATGGTAGAAAGGCTTCAGCACAGACACCTCTGCTCTGTGCCATGGGCTGGGGATGCACTGCAGAGCCTGCCCAGCCCCTGGAACCACTGCACCATGGCACAGTTCTCCAGCACTGCAGAAACACTACAGTTCTTTCCTTAAAAGCAAGTTCTGTTGAAATAACATCTCACCTTGAGACAGCAGTACAAGAAAAGCTACTCAAACTCCTCTTATCTCTTTCTGCATTTGTACCCAGCCTCTCTGCTACTTGCAAGGAAGGTGACCTACAGAGGCATTTCTCAGTATCAGCTTCAGCAGCTCAGTAACATCAGCACGCCTCTCTGAGTTACCTATAAGCTCATCTTCCCTGCCAGATCTCACTGCACTGTACTGCATCTCTTAAACCTTGCCTCGAGTGCTTCAGGACCACAACACCGATCCCTGAAATGCCTCCAGATGGTCTGCATCAGCTGCTGCCCCTCCACATCTGGGAGAAGCCATTCCCAATTGCAGCTGTTCATGTAAAAAACGGAGAGTTGATTTCACCAGCCAACACATCGTATGTTTTCTTACACAGAGCACTGCTTTATTTGCTGAAGACAGTGATAAGATGAGCAAGCGTGATAAAAACAAATGAAAAGCAGTTCCTCCCACTTGAACCAATCTATACACCAGGTTCAAGATGCTGCAAGGAAGTGACTGCATTGCTTACTGTGCTGTTTGTGCAGGCTCACAAGATGCCTGACAACATACCCATCCTCAGAAGGGCGCTGATATTTCAGAGATAAATGCACAGATATCACCTAGTTGAGTGCAGGTGTGCATCCTTCTGCACAGCCACGACAGGGATGCAGAGGGCTGTGTGTTAAGAGTGCAACCAGGGCAATGGCCCACACTCACAGTTAGAACTTCAAGTTAAAGAATCTGAAAGGCAGGAATACATCAGGCAGCTTATGGAGAACATTATGGGGAAAGTATTTGGACAAGAATCAACTTGCATAGGAAATTCATCAGTCATATCCAGAACCAGAGATGCACGATTGCTTTGACAACTCCTGTTCATTATGCAGGCTGAGGAATCAGGCCATGAACGCACTGTATGTACAGCACACATCTCTGCAAGGAAAACATCATCTATTAAACATGCACACAAGTTGTTTTTCTTCATTTGCACCTGTACCTTCATTTAATTGGCCCAGAAAACTAACCCACTTTCGATAGCTCCCACGCACCCCTTCTCACCACTGGATTCACAGCCACTGTATGAAGGCCTGGCATTTCCTACACAAATTTTCAACTCTCAGTGTCCATTTACACAGCTAAAGCTAACTGAAATCAGAGAGGCTTTTCAACATCAGATCTTCCTCCTGCTCCCATAACGCTGCACAATGAGCTAAGACTCAAAAAATTAAGCCTAGAGCCAGAGCTTTCAGGTGTTGCTTAGGAGCAGAACTGGGAAGCCGGTGCTTTTAGCTTTTCCTCTGACTTGGGGCAAACAATCATACCCTTATCTGGGCTTTTTTGTTAGTGGTTTCATTGTGGAGATGGGGGATAGCCAAGGATGGCTCACATAGATGTGTCATGAATGCATACCCAAAACAGCCCACCACAATCCAGAACACCTAAGTGTCTGCAAGCCAGCCTTTTCCTTAGAAAAGCCCACCTCATCTAGGCAAACACAGACTGACATTCACCTCTATATCACAGGAGCAAAAAGGAAGATTTGCATTCCTATAAGTTGTGCCTGCAAGTTGAACTTATTCCCAACAGAATCACATTTCTGTGCTCATCTTCAAACCAGTCTTCCCACCTCAGCCCTTATACTTATGCCCTCAGTGTGTGTCAGAGGCAGCCACTGGCACTTCTCAAAAGACTTCACGCTGGATCCCAGTCTCTCTCTGCAGAAGGTGATCAAAGCTCATCACAAATCCAGCAGGGTGCAACCATAAACCGTGTCTTTTGTGGAGCCAGCCAACGCAAAGTGATTTCCTGGCACGAGCATCATTTAATACGTCTTGAAGAAAGTCACCTACCCTGCCTTCCACAGCACCGACTGCAGGAGATTCAGACACTGCATGCATCAACGCAATGGAAAAGAGAGAAAAGAGGTGAAATGCATAAACCCAGGGGGTAATAGGATGAAGGAGGGAGCTACGCTGTGCTCCTGGGGGAGGGTGACACCCCCCAGGAACTGCTGGGATCTTTGCACCGAGGCTGTGCTGCTCCTCATGGCTGTCCTCCTGCCTTGAATCCAGCAAAATCCACCACACACTGTAGTCTGCAGCACACCAAGCATAACCCCAGCTCTCGACAGCAATAAGAATTATCACAGTCGCAGGGAAAAACACATCAGACGTTTTTATTTCCTGCACAACCACAATACCTGTGTTTTTCACTCAGAGCCTGGTGAGGCACTGGAACAGGTTGCCCAAGGAGGCTGTGGATGCCCCATCCCTGCAGGCATTCAAGGCCAGGCTGGATGTGGCTCTGGGCAGCCTGGGCTGCTGGTTGGTGACCCTGCACACAGCAGGGGGTTGGAACTGGATGAGCATTTTCAACCCAGGCCGTTCTATGATTCTATGCTCGCTTACTGAGCGACCCTATACACTCCACGAGAACCCACGACGTGCTGCTCACCAGGATCTCTCCCAGCAGCACACAGGGCCACAGCTCCAGGCCGCCCTGCTGTGCCCATGGCCGTTTCCTGGAAGCACGAAGGCCACACGAGGGGAATGCCCGACCCCAGCACCGAAACCTGGGATTGGAAGAGGTCCCCCTCCATTCCCACACCGCGAGGTTTGAGTGCTTATCGTTAGATCTGATTCTATTTTCGCAAAGGCTTTTACGCAGCATTTCGTGGCCGTTCCAGCAGTGCGGCCCCAATCCCATCAGATCGCAGCACGGCGCTGTACAGCCTCGCCCCATCGCGTCCCACGGCTCCAACCCAAAGCCCGGCCCACCCCTCGAGTCCCCCCCGTGCCACCCCCCGCCCGGGCCCACCTTATCCATCAGCTTCCAGCACTTCTCCACCATCTTTTTATCCACGGCGCCGGGCTGATGCGGGCCGAGGTGGTGGTGATGCGGCTGGAAGGCGTCCTTCATCAGCCCGATCAGCCCCCCGGGGCCCTTCTTCAACGGAGCCGACATGAGGGCAGCGCGGGGGCGGCCGACCGAGAGCCCACAGCCGCCCCCACCCCGAGCGGCACCGGGCCGCGGCCCTGCGGGGCTGACGGCCGTGAGGAGCTCCGCGGGCCGGGCCGGGCGGGCGGCGGCAGAGCGAGCCGCGGGCGGTGGCGGCGGCGGCGGGGGGCGCCCGGCTCCAGCGCCGCTCCGCCCTCCGCCCCGGCCACGCCGCGCGCTGATTGGCGGGCCGCCCCCTCCGCGCGCCACGCTCCGCCCCCTCCTCCGGGGAGGAGCCGCTGCCCATTGGCTGGCGTCAGCGCCCAGTAGGAAGGGGACGAGCGGAGGGCCGAGCGGCAGGACCCGCCCCGTCGATTCGGAGCGTGCACAGAGCAGCGTGAGGGCGGCGCGGCGGCCATGTTTAGTGCGGGCGGGGTGGGGCGGTGTCGCCATGGGAACGGGTCCCGCTGGCGGCGCGTTGCCCTCAGGCCGTTCCGCTCTGTTCTGCGGGTCTTGCACAAGCGATGATTTCCCCTTTCTAAAAACCAGCTTCCCTTTTCCCCAAAATAAAGAACTGACAAGCGTTGAAAGCGGGAAGTAGCGTCCTGTTCCGGCAGAGAGCTTCCCCGTGTCCGTGTGCCCCATTCCCCTCAGAACCCGCCCTACCATCACCTCACAGTGGTTGTGCCCTTGGTGCCGGCCAGGCCTGCAGCACAGCAACCAGAACTGTGGAGGCTGCTGGCACAGAGGACAGAAGGCCGTGGGCTCTGCTCCGTCTGCGGAAGCAGAACCGAAGTAGATCTCTGGTGCCATCCTAAGGCACGGGTTGGACTTTGGTGGCATGGTGGCATCTCCCTCCATAACAGGGCCAGCATTGCACCAGGGCATGGGAGCAGGGAGAGGAAAGCAGGCCATGCCATGGGTACGTCTGTGTTTTGACACGGCTGACAGCAGCAGGCCTTTGGAAATTACAACATGAGCTCGAAAGTGAGCTCAGTTCTGTTTCCGTGCCGCCTTCAGATCCTCTTTTCAGCTCCCTTTCCAGCCAGAACGCTTCCTCTGTGACAGGCAGGGCTGCTGCAAACCTGCGTCAGCATCACGGCGTGGGCTGCAAGGGGAAGAGAGACTGCAGCAATGCTCTGATACCCCTGGCCTGCAGGCTGCCAACCAGTTGTGCAGGGCCTGGGATGAGCAGGGCGATGTGAAGCAGCACCCAGCACCAGCTGGGAGCCTTGTGTCGAATGGTTCGAAAGCTCTCTGTCTTGATTTTACTGCCTTTCGTAGAGCTTAGTGTATATTTCTGGGACAGGCAGCTCCTTGTCTGGCTTTAATTACCTGGGCAAATTTTCTTAAGGATTATATTGACCTCAAATATGTCAACGTTTATTGAGGCCGTGTTTCTGAGGCTTTTCCCATTAGATGTTAATGGATTCTGGCTAATAGTCAAGCCGGATTGACCACCGGAGGGTGCCCTGGCCAGCTGCAGGATACCACAAGTACCTGGGGAAAGGGATGGGGAGGGTTCCACTGGCTTTGTGGAGCCAAAGAGAAAAATCACCATGGCCCCAATCCAAAGAGATCAGAGAGCATGCTGGAGCAATTGCACTCCTGACCATCTGCTGCTCTGGGCAAGCCTCACCCCAAGTCATGGCTGTGTTCATGTGCAAGGCTTCAAGGAAAAGTTGCTGTCCCCTCCCTGCAGAAGGGGCTGTGGCGTTCAAGTTGGATTTTAGAAAAAAATGATTCTCAGAAAGAGCAGTCAGACATTGGAACAGGCTGCCCAGGGAAGTGGTGGGGTCACCATCCCTAGAGGTGCCCCAGAATGGTGGAGATGCAGCACTTGGGAACATGGTATAGAGGGCATGGTGGGGACGGACTTATGGTTAGATTTGATGAGCTTACTGGTCTTTTCCAACACTACTGATTCTATGATTCTATTCCTATGCAGAGCCTCTGCCAGCTCACTGCTCCTGCTGCCCTGCCCATACAGCAAGGTTTAGGTCCCACTGAGCAAATCTCACCTATACGCTCCCAGGTGTTTCGGGTGAATCACATCCTGAGCAGAAATAACTGTTTGAAATCCCCTCCCTTCCTTCCTGTCCTGTTTTATAAAGAGAATCCAAATCTAGCCACAGTCCCCAGGGCAAAAATCACTGCAGCAAGCAGGAGAGCAAGCAGGAGGGTGTGCCAGAGGGGAGAGGCAGGGCAGGCAGGGAGGAAGATGCTGGGCTTGTCTCAGGCTGTGACATGGGGGCATCACCTTTCCCACTCCATCCCTGCAGTGGCAGGGCTGCTGCAGGACTAAAGCTCTGGGACACACATAGGACAGAATCCACCCAAACTTGTGGGAGCCACATCCTACAGCCAAACCCAGCCAGCTGAGTTCTGGCAGTGGGGTTGGCTTTAGACCACTCCAGCACTGCTGTGCTGGGTGTGTGTGGCCCATGCCTGTGTCACAGGAGAGAAATGCTCAGCTGCTGCAAGGCGGAGGCGGGTGCGGGGCCAGGCAACCTGCCCTCACTGTGCACACAGTTGCTACAACAACAACTTGGCTTGGAGGCAGCTGCTGTGTCCTGAGGGATTGTGCTCCCTGCTTTGCCAGAAGAATGCCTCCAAAGGGCAAAGGGAAGAGGAAAAAAGGAGTGAAGCTACACAAAAAGAGAAATGCAGCAGGTGAGTCTGGGGGCTTGCAGATTAAAGCCAGCAGGGGCATGCCCCTCTTTTCTGTCCTCTGATACTTCCTGATGTGCCTGATTAGAAACAGGAGGCAGCGGGGTCTGGGCTGTGCTCAAGCATCCTGCATCCCACCGCACCCTGCAGCTCAGTGGGACCTGGGTGGGGGCTCAAACACAGAGGCTCCACCAGGCCCTAGCTCCTCCTACAGAGCTCCAACTGGAGGTGTGTACTGGAGGAACATGGGTAGGGGTTTGGAAGGATCCCTGAACCTCGGTGTGCTAAGGACCCCAGCGACTTCCCCATCTTCACCATGAAATCTCAGCTTTCAATCCCAACCTCGCATGCATCTCTCCCAGGGAGGCCACTTCAAGTAAAACCAGCTACACCCTGATTCTTTGTCTGCACAAACACAGCCCTGACACTGGTGTTTCAGCTGGAGGCATGTCCCAGCCAAGTTTTCCTGGGTTGAACATCTCCAGGCAGGCTGCCCCCAGGCCATCTGACAGCTCGCAGTATCCCTGGGCCAAGCCCCACCAACCAGCTAATTCTGACTCCGTCCTTTCTTCCTCCCCTATGGCAGCAGAAAGCCAAGCTGCAGCCACATCCAGGAGAGCAGCGCTGGAGGCTGACAGGCTGCAACAGCACCCAGGTAAGATGGGGAGGAGCCAGGGGCATGCCTGCAAGCAAGGAAAAGTTAGGAAAGATGCAGTGCTGGACCAAAATGCTGGGCAGGGCATCTCGCCCTATGGTTTGAATACAGCCACAGGCTCCAGTATGCTCAAAGGGCTGGATCCCAGTGGGTCACCCCCAGCAGCACGCTGCCCTCACAGCAGCACTGTGTCTTGCAGTTCACTGGAGGGATGTGGCCTGGCAGACGAGGGCTGACACTGATGGGCTCCGGCGGAGGCTGTGGGAGCTGGAGCAGGCACTGGAACGGGCGCAGGATGACAAGCGAGACATGCATGAAGGTAATGGATGGGGTGGGAAGGGGCAGGTGCAGGAATCCCACACCTCAGTGCCAGCCAGGGATGCCAGCCAAGCTCACCCACCTCTCCCATCATCCTGTTCTGCTCAGCCCCAAAGCACCCATGCCATTGGCATGCCGAGGCTCTGGCTGTGCACTTGCTGCACCCCAGCTGCTGGGCTCAGACACAGAGCAGACCACAGCCTGCAGAAGTCACTGTCTCGCTGCTTCCTTCAGCATTTGAGAAGGAGATGGTTTTAGCAGAGGTAAAACCTCAGCCAGAGGTTTGCGGTCTTTGCCACATGCAAAACTCCGTGCTCATTTTCACTCTCCCACGCTCAGCAGAGGTTGAACTAACTTTCCACCCCTCTCCCCAGGGCTCCCTCCTGCCCCTGCCACAGCCCAGTGGGACAGGGAGAGGGGGCTTGGCCACTCTAGGTGCACAGCCTGCAAGAGAAACCCTCAATTCCCGCTTGCTGGAGCCCTGCCTGGCCACAGGTTCTGGGTTCCCAGCACAGGGACTGCCTGCTTGTCCCTCCTATTGTCACCATTTGTCCCCTTCTCCTCTCTTTGGCTCCCAGAAATGACCCGGCAATACCAGGAGCTGCAGAAGCAGACAGCAGCACACAGCCAGCGCCTGGAGGCAAAAGTGAAAAGCCTGCAGGAACAGCTGGGTATGGCCTTGGCATCTCTGCCTGTCACTAGTGGGATGGGAATGGGTTTGTTCACTCCTGGGCAGGAAAGCATTCATTTGGGGGAGCAGGGAAAACAGGAGATATTCGCCCTGTGCTGTCTGCCAAGCAGCAGCTGAAGGCAAAGCTTGACCCTGGTCCCAGAGCATCCCTGAGCTTGGGATACTGACTGCAAAGGGGATGCTGTGATCCCACTCCATCCCAAACCCTGGGGTGGGGGCTGTACCGCACCCTCGATGCCCACACAGCGTCCCCTGCCTTTGTCCACAACACCCCACAGCCACCAGGCTGCAGGAAAGCCAGCACACCCAGCAGACTGCCACCAAAGCACTTGCAGAAAGGGACAGGACCATCGCCCAGCTGCAAGGCAGAATGGACATCATGCAGAGGGAGTACGAGAAGATCTTCCACGTGAGCAAGGATGCGGCTGTGGGTGGTTCCCCTCAACACAGTTCCCCCCCCCCTCATCACCCTCTCCCCCAACTAGGATAGCCTGGACCTTGTGCTGGGCAAGATGGCAGAAGCCAGGCAGCACTGGGAGGAGGAAGGCACAACCATCTGCCTGGAGCACAAGCAGCTCCTGCAGGAGTTTGGCCTCAACCCTCTGGAAATATAGCACTCAGGGACCACCTAAGAGACGACAGGCTCTCAGCCTCTATCAGCACAGCTGCCCCAGGGTTCTGTCTGTCCCTGGGACATGCTGCTGAATGACAGACCCCCCAGCACACCACTCACGTGAACGGCAGCGTGGATTTGTCCTTTAATCACTCTCCAAAGCGGTGACATGGGAACAGTGCTGTGATGGGGGCAGGTACCACCCAGCAGTTTGCAGAGGAGAAGCATGAGGAAGATGTCCATGCAGGGCAGACCTGAGCCCAGATGAGAGCTGGGGGGTTCCTCCAGCACCCTTTTCCCCTTGGCCCAAAGTTCAGCCCCCCGGGTCATGGCACAGAGGGCAGTGCCTTGGCTCTCCTGGGAGCAATCCAGAGCCTGGAGCATTATGTCCTCAGATAGCCCTGGAGGTGTGGGACTGTCTTCAGGTTATCGCTACATTCAATAAAAGCTTGAGGCCTTCTTGGCCAATCTTGGCCAGTGGAAATGAGTCTCTGGTAGGTGTGATACTGGCAGTTCTATCCCAGGAGCAGAGATGCAGTGCTGTCCATAATTACAATCCTTGTGTTCTCTGGGTATATCAGCAGTGCTGCATGGGATCCTGGCTGGAGGCAGGGTGCTCCAGGCTGCTAGAATGCATGGCGCAGCCGCCTCTGCTCCTCTCTGCATGGGCTCTGCAGGGACACAGCAGGGACAGGTAGGCAGCACACTCCCACCAGCCCCATGGTGCCAGGAGTTCAGCAGAGAGGGCACAGGGTAGGAGGATGCCAGACTCAGAGCAGCTCGGTGAAAGTTTTTTACCTGTGTGATGGTTATGCTGTTGGCAGCAGTCATCAGCCAGGAGCCAGGTCTCTTTGGTCCCACGTCGATGTGACAGAGCCCAGGGGAGTTGCTGGGAGAGGGCAGGGAGGGCGTGCAGGAGCCCAAGGCAGGGTCACCATCATCGAGGAACAGCAGAGGAGACAGCCCTATCTGCAAGAGCATCATGGGTGAGCCATGCAACTCCTGGAGCTCCTTGGCAAGCTGGAGGTCTTGGAGGGGACCTCACTATGCAGGTCTGGGGGTGAGGGATCCACCTTGCAGGCTGTGCGTTCCGCAGCACGTACCGAGCGGTAGAACGCATCGCTGGCAGGGTCGATGACCAGCATTGTCACCTGTTCCTTGTGTGCACGGATCCTCAGTACTGTCTCCTGGTGGTCCAAGCCCTCAATGCTCTCACCATTCACAGCCAGGACACGGTCCCCTTCCTTCATCCCTGCCTGCTCAGCTGGCAACCCCGCGTCTATGTCCCATAGGAACTGGCCTGCAGGGATGAGAGAGGAGAGATACTTACCAAGGCATTCAGAGAGCATCCCAGCACTACTGCCCCTGAGTGCAGGTGGGATCAGCTCCCTTACCTACATCCCCCGAGCCATAGTCATCCTCCTTGAGCAAGAACCCATAGCCAGCGTCACCTTTCACCATGTGCAGCTCCCGAGCCTTGAAGGGCAGCCAGGAGGTGTCTGCCAGGGCAGCTGTCACCTGCAGTCCCCGCAGGCGGTAAAACTCCTCCACTGGGCCAGATGCCACCAGCAGTGTCACCTTGCTGCCACTCTGCTTGAGCTGGAGGAAACACACATGATGCCCAGCACCACGACCAGCCCCAGTCTTGTACCCAGCACCAGAGCACACACACACACACCTTTCGGGCAAGCTGGGTGTGTGAGCAGCTCCTGACACTGTGCCCATTCAGCTCCAGGAGCCAGGAGCCTGATGGCACTCCAGCTCTCTCCGCCGGCCCGTCCTGCCGCACTGACAGCTGGAACGTGCCCTTGACACCTACAAGAGGAGCAGGCTGCAGCATGCAGGGTGATGCTCCAAGTGGGTGATGCTGCGGGCTGGCAGTGCCAGCTGTCTCCCTACCTTCTGGCCCCGACACGCTGAAACCAAAACCGCTTTTGTCTCGTGTGATGTGGCAAAGGCGCGGGCGGATGTCAGCAGGCAGCATTTGGGACAGATCTCTGCCCAACGCTTTGGCTGATTCGTAGGAGTCGCCATCCAGCACTGCCAGCAGGACCTGGTTCCCACTGGCCTTGATCTTCTGCACCACCTGCAAGGGGCCAGGCTGCAGACCCCGAGCACAGTTCTCCTCCAGTGAGGCCAGCATCCTGCACTCCCTCTGTGCCCAGCTGGAGGTACCCAGGTGTTCCCACATTCCAAGGATGCTCGTGGCTTACCCGGTGGTGCTCCATGTGGTCCACGAAGAGGCCGTTGACCTGGAGGAGCCGATCCCCATCCTGCAGCCCCCGGCGCTGGGCCAGCCCCCCCAGTTCAACCTGCCGGATGACGTGGCCCCGGCAGCCCAGCTCCTCGTGCAGGCAGAAGCCGAAGGTCTCTGTGCTGCCCTTGCTCAGCAGGTAGAAGCGGGGTTCCCCCATGGCCTCGCCATCTGCATGGGGACACGGCCCGTGAGCAGGACAGCAGAGATGCTAACAGGGCCATGGTCTCCCCATTCCCCTCTACTGTAGGCATTCACCTCCCTGCAGTGCCCCGGGGGTGACCAGAGCTGCCTGACCCCACACTGATGGGGGAAACCCACATATTTACCAGTGTCCTCAGCCAGTGACAAGGCGGGGTTGTCAATCCCATCTTTGGGGTTAAATTCAAATTTTCTGCAATGATAAAGGGTAGGAGAGGCCACATTAGAGCAGCCCCATCATGTTCCCCTGCCCCTCCATAGGACCCCCATTCCTGCTGGGGCCACAGCTGTGGTTTTCCCTAGGGGAAACCACAGAGGGATGTCACTTTGGGATTGCCTCTATAACTCTCTTGTTGTGAAAAACATTCCTGGGACTGACAGTCATAGCCCACACCACCCCTGCACTGCCCAGCTGTGGGGCCAGGGGGGGAGCACAGCACTTACATGATGGATGCTTTGTCGCCCTCGAGCCCTGCAGAGGGAGAGGAGAGGTCAGCACAGAGGGTAGCGAGCTGGGAACAGAGCTGGGTGCTCAGGGCTCATCTGTTCACATGGTGTGCAGGGTCTGCACAGCCCCTCAGGACTTTTGGATGGGGGTGAGGAAAGTAACCAGGGCCCCAGAGACAGAGAAAGCAGCATTCCCCTGCACACCTCCCCAAAAACCCTCCAACACCACCAAACCCTTGGAGAGGGGATTCCTGCCAATGCCCCCCTTCAGCCCATCGGCATTTTCCTGGGTGCCCGCAGCTCCTTTCCGTGGCTCTGACACTGTTTTGCTCCATGAAGAAGCAGAGCCTGGAGACACGCACACGAGGAAGGGTCTCTGTGGGACGAAGCCCTGCAGCCCCAGCACATACCTTCCATTTGCTTCATGGCTGCAGCGAATTCGAGAGGGAGCAAGGTACAGGGTGAAGTGGCAGGGAAGCACGGCGTCCCCGCCTTCTCCAAGACGCCCCATGTTTAATGGTTAAACAGCTCCGAGTTTCCCCTGCCCTCCCAGCCCTGGCAGTGCCAGCCCTCACCCAGCAGTGCTGGGAGCTCAACCAGCACCTGGGGCTCAGAAACAGCCCCTGGGTGTCCCACGGTGGGGAAGACGGACACCAGGAAACAAAGCGGTGCACTTTAATGCTACCAAAGTTTTCACAAGCAAACTTGAGTCCAAGCCCAGAAGACAAGTCCCATTCACACCTGGGCTTTGTGCCATATTTCAGCCTGGCCCCACATACCCAGCACCTTCAACAGCTTCTGCAGCACCCAACCGCTGGGCATCTCCACTGTGATAAGGGTGCCGGTGAGGCACTGCACTCTCCAGCAGCTCAAATGGTCCCATGCTGGAGTTTCCCCAGCATCTTCTTCACCTCGCTCTCCACCCGTAGGAACTTGGCTTTCCTCCAGGGGTTGACCGTCTGCCTCCGGCTGCTCTCCAGGTCCTGCAGGATGATGGTTAGGTGCTGCCGAACCCTTTCGCGGTCCCAGAAAGGCAGATTCTTGTGCACCACGTTCAGGATGCTGGACCAGTAATCAGAGACATCAGTGCCTGCCGTGAGGAAGACCAGTGCCCTGACACCGTCCCGGTCCATGCGCAGTCTGTCGAGTACCCTCTTGCCATCCTCACTGATGTCATTGAAATATAAACTATGGGGTAAAAGGAGATGCTGAGGGCTGGGAGGAGAGATGCGGGGCTTTCTGCTGCAGAGAGGGATGCTGGCTCGCAGCGTCCCCTGCAAGAGCGAAGGAAAGGGATGGGATGAACTCACTGCACTTTGTCCAGCGTCGCGTGCTTTTTGGCCACCTCCACCACATGCAGGGCAGCCGTGTCTGTCAGGGAGTTGTAGCCCAGGTTGAGCTCCTGAAGCTGCTGGTTCTCAGTCAGGTGCTGGGCGATCAGCTCCACACCACGGTCTCCCAGCGCAGTGTGCAGCAGGGACAGGTGGGTCAGTGAGCGGTTGCCTGCCAGCGCCTCAGCCAGGTACTGTGCCCCCTGCTCACCTATGGGGTTGTTCCCCAGCCTGCAGGGATGTGAGGTCAGGGTGCTGCCTGCAGCGTGCAGCCGGGTTTGGGGTGAGGATGGGGCAGTACTCACCGCAGGTTGCTCACTGCACACTTGTCGTGCAGGAGCAGGTCACGGATCTCCTTGCAGGCATCAGGGCCCAGGCTGTTGAGCTGCAGACTGGTGCAGAGCAAAAGAAAGGGGTGGTGGCAGGATCGAAGCGTCCGCCGTGGGGCCATTCACCCCATCCATCCCACCACCGTCCTACCCGGCTTCCCCATACAAGGTCACCCAAGGCTCCCTCTCCACAAGCAAGCCCACAACAGCTGCCCCAGTGGACGGGTAGCATCAGCCAGCAGAGCCAGCACCAGCAAAAGAGAGGGAGAGGAAGGGGATCCGGGTGCCGCTGGGGGGCCTGAGGGTCTCAGGAGGGAGCAGGACCCCACCGAGCCCTCCAGAGCATCCGCAGGAAGGAAGCACTGCACAGCCCAGCCGCACAGCTGCGTCCATCTCTGCCGAGCACGGCTCGCCACCCCCTGGGCAATGAGCAGATTGCAGGTTTACAAATGG